CTGGCATGTACGCACATGCTGGCAAAAAACCCACAAACGTAACTAAAAAATAATAAAAAACCGCCAGGCGTTAGTTGCACACGTCCTTAATCCCAGCACTCCGGAGGCAGAGCCACGTGGATCTCCGTGAGTTTGAGGCCAGCCTGGTATACAGAGCGAGTGCCAGGACAGCCAGGGCTACACAGGGAAACCCTGTCTCGAAAGAAAAAAACAAAAGAAAAAACAGGCTAGGCAGTTTGGGGTCAGTATCTTTGACTACACATCTAAAAGGAAGTGATTTTGGATATGATTTTCATTACTGGACGTTGAGAGCCATTACGCGTTCACCTTTAAATGCTACCTGAAGACTGCATGCAATATGCAGTGATCTACGGGGCACTCTAAGCCTGCTAATCACCCACGAATGGCTCTCCAGGATAGGTGGAGCAATGGCTGGGAAGGGGTTTTGAGCTGTGCAAGACAACAATGGCCTTGCACTCTGTATAGTCTTCATAGTTCCCAGAGATGCAGTTTCTTTCTTTCTAGAAATTGGAAGGATGTCCTATTCCTCACTAGGCCAGTATGCGTCTATGAAGAAAGATAAATGTGTTGGACATCTCCTCTATGGAGGCACCTTGTGCTGAACAGTTTTATGTCAGCTGGACACAAGCTAGTCGTTTGAGAGGTAGGATTCCCAACTAGGAAAATGCCTCCATAAGCTCAGGGCTGTAGACAACCCTGTAGGGCATTTTATTAATTAGTGATTGATGGAAGAGGGCCCAGCCCATGGTGGATGGCGCCACCCCTAGGCTGGTGACTGGGTTCTGTAGGAAAGCAGGTTGACCAAGCCTTGAGGAGCAAAGCCAGTAAGCAGCACCCCTCATGGCCTCCGCATCAGCTCCCGTCTCCAGGTTCCTGCCCTGTTTGAGTTCCTGTCCTGACTTCTTTTGATGACGAAACAGTGATATGGGAATGTAAACCCTTTCCTCCCCAGCTTGCTTTTTAGTCATGGTGTTTCATCGCAGCGATAGAAACCCTAACTGAGACATGCCTGTAGCTCAAGTCTGTCTGAGATGGGGCAAGGGTTTATCCAAAACAAATAAAACTTACTTCTCTCATTCAGCCAGGCCCATGCCAGAAACCTAGGATTCTTCCCAGACCCTCTTCCTGCAGCCACTTGTCACGGAGCCCTACCTACAGCGTCCTCTAAACACCTCTCTGATCTCTCTGCTGTATACTATTTGCCTTTAGGGCAATCCCTCCAAGATTGGCTCTCTGCCACAAATGGAACTTGGAAAAATTCAGATGCCTAGGCTGCACCCCAGTGGAGGGTATTCTGGGTAGCTATGTGTTTTTTTAAACTCCAGATGATACAATGTGCATTTGAAATTGGAAGCCGCTGCTACAACCTCACCATTTCTCCTTGGGTTAATATTAGCGAAGAATATTCTTGGTCCCAGGTATATTCTTGCTGCACTGTCCCTAATTTCCCCCTTTGTAATTCACTCAACGTTGGCTCAAGAAGTATTTTGGTGTGTGCTAAATTTGCCTCCTGAATACAGCAATGAAGCATATAGCCAACGTGTTTGTTCTAACGGAACTTACATGGGAGGGCAGGGCGTGATGGAAAATGAGAAGCAGAAAGGAATGAATTTCCCAGAGTCTGGAACGTGACAGCTTTTTCTTGCCAGGGCCTCCTACCTGCGGGTCCCCAAGCATCCTCCACGTCCTTCCCTTCCTGAGCCTTGCAGAACCCGGCTCTGCAGACAGCAGACAGCATTGGTTTGCAGACAGCATTGCAACGGTCTGAATGAGAACGCTCCCCATCGGGTCACATGTTAGAATACTTGGTCCCCAGTTGGAGGAACTGCTTGGGAAGGATTAAGAGTCAGGGCCTTGTTGGAGGAGGTCCATCATGGGCCTGGCTTTGAGGTTTCAAAAGCCTCCCACCGTCTCCAGTAGGTTCCCCAGAGACTCCAAAGGTCAGCTGTTACTGCCACCGTGCCCTACTCTACGCCTCTGAAAGCGTAAGCCCAACTGCTTTAAATCACCAAGAGAACCTGGGAGACAAATTAATGTCTCCTTTTGTAAATTGCCTTGGTCATAGTGCTTTGCCCTCATGGCAATAGGGACATAATTAAGACACAAGGTAACAGAATAAGAAGTATCAAGCCCAGTATTTGATTTTGTTCTCTCAGACCGAAGCCAACTCTTCTGCTCTTGGAGCCGGGTTCTGCAAGGCAGGAAGGGAAGGGCGTGGAGGACGCTTGGGGACCCGCAGGTAGGAGGCCCTGGCAAGAAAAAGCTGTCACGTTCCAGGCAGCTAGAGGCTGAAGCAGAGAGAGTAAGAGGAAGGGGTTATGATGGGAGAGACAGGAACTCTGGAGCCAGATTATTGACTGCCTTTAGGGATGTGTGATACGGGGATGCTAGTGATTCGTATGTTACCAGTAGATTTTATAAAAAGCAGACAGCATCTGTTTGGATTTGAAACCCATCTCTGGCTATTCTGTGGATCAGACTATGGCCATCAACACTGGAAGCAAGAAGACTAGTCTAGAGGCTGTCGAAGGGATCCAATAAAGAAACCATAGTTCTAACCCGGCTGAGACTGTGGGAACAGAAATGGATGGTTTGCATATTTGTCTTGGGGTATAATTGGCAGGGCCTGCTCGGAATGCAATAAAAGTGGCGAACCAGAGAAGGAAGGTTGGGATTAAGTAATAGCTACTCTTTACCGGGTACATCCTACATGACAAGCCCTGCTCTGTTTTATTAGCACTGACCCATTTAATTATCACAAGGCCCCAAAGATAGGTGTTGATACTAACAACAAATTAACAAATGAGAGTCTGAGCCTGGAGATTAAGTAATTCGATCAGCTGCATAGCTGAGATTTAGACCATCAGGCTGTGTAGTCCCAGAGTCACCCCCCTTCAGCCACACGCCTATCCCAAGCCCCTCCACCAGAATGACAATCTCGGTGACATTTTCCTCAGCTAGTTAT